GTCTCGAGTTATCACCTCTCAGTGAGCCTAATTTGCTATATCAGATGCCACGATGGCGGGCCTAGTTCATTCGTGGAATGAGGCAGACACAATGATGGAGTCATTCGAATGCCCATGTCGCCGACAGCTGCCTACATCGCCCAGAGCCGACTGCCAGACACGAGTAGAATCCAAGAAAAGCAATTTGCATCATTCACGCTGCATTGCCGAATGTTCCTCTCATAATGGTGCCCCGGAGACCACATGTTAGTGCTGGCTTGAGTGAAAAGCATTGAAGAGAGGCGACATCAGTGTAATATAAGTGGAACAAAGAAGAATCGATTTGTACAGTATCAGTACACACGCGCGTGTTGGAAAGAAGGTCCCCGAATGCGGGCCTTGGTCCATCGCCAAAAGAAATCAGATATCTATTTCATGCCGGCCATCCATTCGCCTTGGAAATCTCGTCGTTTTGCATGCTCGAATAGAAAGCCATACGAGTAATTATTTACTTGCGGATCACAAGGTTGTCGAGGTCCTCACGCTCCTTGGCCTCCTTCTCAATCTCGCGAATGATGGGGCTCAGGTACTCGACGTCCTAGGTGAGGGATTGAGGTTAGTTGCAAGTCTATAATCTCGGGTATAGATATGCCCCGTGCCAAGTGACAAATCCTCGCAACGGGATTGGCCGAAGCGGGATCGCGGGGATAACCGCATAGAAATTTGAGAGATACTAACCTCCTCGGGCTTGGTCTGCTCATGGGGAGGAAGAAGAGTGTGAGAGATGGAGCACTGTATTTCGAAGAAATGTCAGGATTGCACAGCCAGAGATTTCGATGAGGGGTGGAACCGGGATAGTTCGAACCTGGACAGCACGGCGGATACGGAAGACACGGTCATAAGCCTCCTTGGAAGACAGACGCTTGATGGCCTTTTGGACGGTCTCACTCTCCTCGGGGATCAGGTCATCGAACCTATGAGCGACCGGGTTAGTTACGGTATTCGCAAAGGTGGTATAGACTGCGAACGGTATTCCAGATAGCTGCGGCGGTGGACGATGGCTTCGGGGGCAATCAATCGGATGAATATTCTCGTGAGATATCGCAGTAGATATTGCGCACCGGCCGTACTTCACGCCACTCGATACTCGCTCGTGATGAAGATGGATTGGAGGCGGAGAGGGAAGGGCGAGAATTACTTGAGTCCGAGACGTCTGTAACCAGCGGCATCGGTGTACCACTGAGCGATGGGGGTCATCCAGCGCTTGAGCCAGGGGCGCTTGACGATATAGTTGGTGAGCGAAGGAGCAGACATGTTGGCGTTTTCCGAATGTCCAATTGACAGGAGAATGATCTCGTCGGAGTGGGAAGGAAAGGGCGGTCCGGCTTAACACGAGATGACCCGATGTTTCGAGGTTGTGCAAAACGGAGCTTGTGGCGCTAGCCCCAAACCGGCAGAGGTTTGCCAGCCGCACGCCTGAGGCTCCCAAACCTCCTCACGTCACACGTGACTGAGCGGCTCGGATGCCCGTTTCAGCAAGCCGATGAGAGGAACGACAATCGCCGAGCCCATCTCGCACCACTGTCGACATATCTCCCAATTACTAATAGGCCCTGAAGTCTGCAGTCTGGGTGAATCGCCAACCCCGAGAAGTGCGTCCCCTCCTTACGCGCCCTTGAAAAATTTGTGGTGTCGCTGACCGCGGAGCTGGGCTCTACCAAGACCGATCCCCCACTCCGCCCGCAGTCCGTGCTGCACGAGACGAGTTGACTGTTCCCACTGTGTCAGGCCCATCGGACTCGGCAACAATCGGCTCCGCCAAACGATCCCTCTGTCTTTTCCTAAACTTCGATTTCTATCATTCACTACGGAGGTAAAGACTTAGATTGAAACACTTCCACCTTTAATCTTGCATTCACACGGGGTTGCTGGGTCCCGGATCGAGCACACGATATGCTCGCATCCCGGAGCCCTCGGTGATCACAACGGACAGACGGGCTTCCGCATCTGCCAATATCACGATGCGCTCAACTGAGATTGGCAGCTCCGAGGCTGCCAGTACCGCCATCGAGAATCCTCAAAACTTGCACCTCAATGCGGCCCAGTCCCTCGGGCAATCCTCGGCTGCCGATGCGTTGCCGGCTTCCGATTTCACAACCCGTCTTCAGATACTCGCAACGCGAATCCCCAAAGCTTACATTGCACCGTTCTGTGGCGCGAGCGCAGGCGTCGCCTCCGGAATCGTCACTTGCCCACTCGATGTGATCAAGACCAAGCTGCAAGCCCAGGGTGGCTTTGCACGTCGAGGAGGCCAGACGAGAGAGACTCACATACTGTATCGGGGAATGCTGGGGACCGGGAAAAGAATATTTCATGAGGATGGTATCCGGGGTCTGTATCAAGGTCTCGGCCCCATGCTGCTCGGATATCTGCCCACTTGGGCGGTTTATCTTGCGGTATACGACCGCTCGCGCGAATATTTCCATGAGCATACCACTGGTACGTGGACTATCGGAATCACCCAGAGACTCTTTTATGCAGCTTACGATGTGACTGACGCTCAATTCAGACAGCTGGTTATTGTCCCGCGCCTACGCTTCGATTACAGCCGGTGCTTGCTCCACAATTGTCACCAATCCCATTTGGGTCATCAAGACCCGACTCATGTCGCAGAGCTTGAAGCAAAACAACGAAGGCGCTCGGGCACCATGGCAATACTCGGGTACCTTAGATGCTGCCCGCAAGATGTATCGGCTCGAAGGCATTCGATCTTTCTATTCAGGCCTGACCCCGGCTCTTTTGGGCCTGACTCATGTCGCGATCCAGTTTCCCCTCTACGAGTATTTGAAGACTGCCATCACAGGATTTGGCATTGGGGAGCATCCTGACAATGGTAGCACCCATTGGGTCGGGATTTCCTTTGCGACTTTCCTGAGTAAGATCTGCGCAAGCACCATCACCTACCCCCACGAGGTCCTTCGAACTCGTCTTCAGACCCAGCAGCGCACGGCGCCCGCTCCATCGTCCGATGAGGTCTCTTTCCGTGGGGGGCTGAAACATCCTCATGATCGTGGCCGACCTCCTAGCGTCTCGTCTTCCGACGGAATGCCCAATCGTCCCCGATACCATGGAGCAGTTCGTACATTCCAGACCATACTTCGCGAAGAAGGCTGGCACGCATTCTATTCTGGCATTGGTACCAATCTGTTCCGAGCGATTCCAGCAGCGATGACAACAATGTTGACCTATGAGTATTTGACGAAGCTCATCCATGATTACCGACATGAGGGCGAACTGAAGCTCAAGGAGGCAGAGATCCATTCTGAGGGCAATTCCATCTAATTCTGACCTTGTTCAAAAATCATCAACATTTCCAAGCGAGACGTATTTCTGGCATTCACATATTTTAGCCAACTCGATCAGATACCATATCAACCTCGGTCGCCGTCTCCGTCTCTTCACCGTCTACATCCCCACAACATCTTCTCTCTGCACTGACTCGCACGCAGCCTCCTCGGCCGGCTGCGTATGCAATGATCTACCCGACGGTCGACCGAGTGCTTGATTTGATCCATACCGTCATGCTTGGATTCACTGAAGCAGTTTAATTTTGCATGGAAGTCCGCAGGCTGCCTTCCTCGTTGGCTTTTCCGTCTTGCAATATACTGCTAGCATTTTCACACCTTGCGAGCAATAACTATAGCGCTCCTACCAGACTTTTGGGATGACAAGATTGATTCCCACTTCTTCTTTCCAGCGTGCCACTCTTACCCTCGAAAAATTGATTTCTTTTTGCATGACCGACGTCTGCTCTCTTACTGTACATACATTCCCAGAATAGGCGGCACTGGTCGTGTTTTGCATACTTTGATTCGGGAAATATGGATATTGTCTTATTCTTCTCAACGCCTGGGATTTGGCCAGAGTCATATGATTGACTCGTAGAGTGAGTTCACGCCTCTCGATTCTACCTGAGTCACCGACAGCATGGTGAACTGAACGGCTCAGGTCGTGAACACTGTAGGGCCACCAATGCTTGATCTATTACCGACTGAACAGTGAATACATCACTCAGCCTGTACTACTATCGCCAACTGGCTAGTCAAACACTAGTGCCGAACGGGCCTCGCCTGCTTGAGCGGGCTCCACTTGAACCAGGCCCAAGTCATGTGATACACACCTCATTTACAATTTTCTTCCCTCACGCTTCCCTTCCTTTTCGACAATCTATGCCAACTTCTCAATGTTCCATGAGGCTCGATGAATTGTCCTAGAGACAGCCTGGTCGATGGCCGGATATCCTTTGGGGACTTCTCCTGACACGATCAAGTCTAAATGCAGACTTTACAAGGAAGCGACAGGCCAAGAGTCTTTCTTCACTAACGATTCGATCTTGCAGTCTGAAGAGACAAACGAAGCGATCTGTACAAGCTCAATAATTTGATTGATCAGTCTCTCACTCTGACATTTCCGAGCATGAAACCAGAGTGACTTCTTTCCTTCGCAACATTCATATGATGATCTTTTCTATTGATTGAACCGGGTTGTTAAACACTTGAACTCCCGGGCGTGATCATTCATACACTGAAAATTCTGATCGAATGTGGAAAGCAAAGAGTTGCTCTGGTCATACTAAACATGTCTTATTTTGAGTGAGTGACTCAATAGAACAATCAATGCCTTTCTTTACAACCAAATCATCGTTCATTTTCCGTCCAAATGAGTAAGCAGGATGGTTTTCCCGTCTGAAGTGTCCACTAGCACAAGTACCCGGGGTATCAACTCGCCTCAAGAGCCCTGACAGCGTCCACAGTACTTCATAATCAGGTATCCCCAGAAGAATGCAAGCCGTGACGTGTTAGCCCGATTTTCCCTCGCGACTCTGTTCGAGAGCATCCTTCATCCACGATGAGTCTCGTTCTGTTCGTCCAGATACCCGTTGCTGCGAACTGGGCAACCCGGGGGAATCCTGCGCCTCGCGTCGCGCAGTGCGAATGGAGCTGAAGCAGTAGGAGCACAGAATGACTGCCATTGTGAATGCCGCTATAGGTGCATTGACTGACTGAAGGACATGCGGAACTTTGTTAACATCTGTCAAAACTGCAGAGATCAAATGTCGGATTGGTTTTCTGAGCTCGACATTGAACTCGAACCATAATAGACGGTGAACGTACGCCTCTTGCTTTGCCCAGTGTTTTCGAATTCGTGGGAGGTTTGGAAGACATTACGTGCAGAGTGATATGGTTATCAGAGGGGATTTAGTCACTCTGCTGCTCAAAATTAGTTGGGGACTCACAGTGCCGTGGCTGTCATGAGGGCGAACCTGGAAATAAGCTGCTCATCAAACAGATGCAGGAGGGCTTCGAGAACGTGACCCTGATCTCGGTCGGACGTCAAAACTTCTCACTTCACCTAAAACATGAGACTCGCCAAGCGCAGCGTGCTTCTTCAACACTGGCCACCTCAGCACTTCATGAGTATGATCACAAGGACGGTCGCCTCAACGCTGGAGGGATGGTGGCGATGGCCTGATGTATCCGCCATAGGTGAAAAATAGGTGCCTGAGGCTTGTAATACTCCCCCCAAGATCTCCCGGCGGGCTTCGCGGGGATGGACAGTGACTTATGGACTTGGAGGTTCCCGCCAAGGTAATAGGCTAGTTGATTTTAATTAAAGCGACTTGATCCTACTATGAGTCAGACCTACCATGTTTACGGTTAAGCGTTGAGAATTGAGAAATACTGAGGGTCAGTTTCGCTCATCTCTCTTTCGTACTTCGGGCAACGAGTGAATGTTGCTTTTTCACAGACAATAAGTGATATTAATGCGCCTTGATCGTTCTTGAAGAGAGCGGCCGCAATCCTGTCTACCGGACGCATTACGTCGGGATGAGTATATTCACCTCGCCGATGCTCGCTTCTTATCCCCGAACGTCACGGAACGAGAGCTTTTCTGGTAAGTTAGATGTCGGACATCGGACAGACTTAGATCGGTCCCGGGCCTGAAGGGGATTTGAGATTCGGAAGCTCTCTATCTACAGGCCAGGTCGGTACTAATCAGACTCATGAAACGAAATAAAGGTTTAAATACCAAGTTTAGACAAAGTGGGTTGAAGTAGCGTATAACCTCAAGCTGCGAGCATTGAGCACTTAATGACTCCATATTCCATGATAGTGACTGGACTGGGCAGTAATCAACTCTGCAGCGGATCTGGCGATAGTAGTGATTCGGCTTCGACTCTTATCGGAGAGATCAACGTATGGGGTCTCCATCCTCGTCATATCACAGGCATTTGATTGGACCTCGGAGACTGTTTGCTGCAGTATTGCCGATGCCCGCGGAAAAGTCCCATTCACTTGTGGCTGAATCCGATCCATATGTTCTGAAAGGGGGACCATGAATCTTCTTAATGGAAAGCGAGCAGGGATTGATTCATGTGAATCAGCGAAGCTCATCTGGTGACTTGAGAGATTGGTTATGGCAATTTGATCTGTAAACGACTTGAAGGTCGAGGCTGCAGAGTGATGCAATCCGCTGGATGCGGCATGCATCATTCTACCCGGTGAGAGCTGAGTCAGCTCCGATGGTCGCGGCCACCCGTGACGAATCCGAGGTCGCAGCGGGATTATGTAAGAATCAGATTAGTTAGCAATGAATTCATCACCTCCTCTCTTCCCCATATCAGATCTGCTTTTTTGCCATTGTCAATATCTCAACACACTGCATCACAACCACCATCAAACCAACAGAAACCACACAACCTGTTGAACTAAGATCGCTACCACCCTTCCTTAAGACAACCATTCACCATGTTCAAGCGTCTGGTGACCGTTGCTCCCCGCGTCGGCGTTGTTGCGCCCCGTGCTTTCGCTCCCCTCGCTGGTGTGCAGTCCGTCCAGCCCATCCAGCGTCAGACCTCTGCCCCTACCCAGCGCCGGAGCTATCATGAAAAGGTTCTCGACCACTACAACAACCCTCGCAACGTTGGATCTTTCAAGAACGAACAAGATGTCGGCACTGGTCTGGTCGGTGCACCCGCCTGTGGCGATGTCATGAAGCTTCAGATCCGGGTGAACAAGGACTCTGGTCGCATTGATGATGTGGTCTTCAAGACCTTTGGATGTGGTAGTGCTATTGCTTCTTCATCTTACTTGACCGAGCTTGTGCGAGGCATGACGTTGGATGAGGCCGGCAAGATCAAGAATACCGATGTGGCGAAGGAGCTTTGCCTGCCCCCAGTCAAGCGTGAGTTACCCCTCACAAGAGGAATTACTTGTTGCTCCTCTTCCACCCCTTGTGCTGCTAGAGATATTCTGGCTAACAAAGTTTGACTTAATGACAGTGCATTGCTCAATGCTTGCCGAGGATGCCATCAAGTCAGCCATTTCCGACTACTACACGAAGAACCCCAAGGCCAAGACTACCGATCTCTCCGGGACAGGTGCCTCCATGGCCAATGTGAAGGTGGAAATTGAGCAGACTCCTACTGGCGGCGCTGCTGCTTCCATGTAAAACGGATATTGTCACGAGTTCTCCCATCATTTCTCCCTTGAAGAGCTCGAGCTCCCCTCCCCTCCGCTCATTCTTTCTTCCTTGAATCTTTTTATCTATGGGCACAACCGTTTGATCGAGGATGCCTTCATATATTTATGATATGCAACCTTGATTTGGTGCTTCATCACAAGCTTCACCAGTCATCTCGACCAACGGTTCCGATCATCTATCTTGATGATAATGCCGGCCTGGTCTTGAATGAATGGGGCCTTCCAAACAAATTGGCAGATTTGTTTGCTGTACAGTCTTATGCCTTTGCCGTTTTGCCTTTGTTCGTTTCTTTTTTTTCGCCCCCATACCACGTTATGTCTGTCTGGCGCTTTTGGCATCTCAATCCAATCCTCGATCGACCACTCTTTATTTTTACTTTTGAAAAGCGTGGGTTCTTGGTACCTAGAATGAATTTAATGAAAACATTCATACCTTCCGTAATGGATTCACTCTTCCGTCTTTCCGCTAGATCAATTGATGCGTACCCAGGTAGACAGACGAAGCTCGGCTAGTGTCTGCAGAGTGCTACGGTCATCACCTTAGGTACGACTTATTGAAAGCAACGTAATATTCTGAGGTCAACTAAATATGCCTGATGAAATTCATATGGTTCTGCAGGGCTAGATCTGAAACGAACGGACATTCATCGATCGAGCCATTCAAGCGAAAAGAAAACAATGGAGAAGGGATAACCAAATAATGCGAACCCAAGTCTAGCAACTTTTTTCGCTAACCATCTAACGCCGTCGCTGACACACAATCGGCTCTGTCCAAGAAGATGTAGTACAGCCCTTCCGAGACTTGGAATTCGCCCGGGTCAGAAGAGAGAAGCACCTCGAGGACAAGAGCCGCAGCGCTGCTATATATGTACATAATCGTGTCATCAATTACAAGATCTAGTTTTCATGTCGCCCAAGCACTGCATATCCAATAATCTACAAGGCAGTCTGCAATCCGAGCCGACTCTTCACGGAGAGTAGGGTCTCGTAGACGGATAGCCTTGTTTCAACACGAAGATAACCAGCCCAGGGCGGCGAGATACTGGAAGAGTTGAGGAAGATGCCGCCCGAGTTGCGAATCAGCTCCATTTGTTCCTCAAATACGGTGCGGGTGGCGTATCGTGCAAGGATCAGGAATGCTCGCATGGGTCCTTGGCGGGTGTGAAGGTTTTCGTCAAGACTTCGAGCTGGAGGGGTTGGAGGGTCAGGTTAGCGTGGGGTTGGCGGGAAAGAATACACTAGGAAGGACGCCGGCACGTTCAACAAGAAATGAATGGTGACGCGAGTATGAGGGCTTCCTTACTGAGGTCGTTGGTCTTGAGAATCAAGAGGATAATGCGCGGGACTCGGCCCAGTAGGACTACCAGCTGCTGCAACATGCCTTCGCCCAAAGCTCCAGTAATTTCCTTCTTTTCATCGGCCGTCGGGCAGACGCAACGTTCTTCTGCGTCAGGACAGTAAATCCCGACCCGGTAATAGCACTAGCGAAGAGAGGGAAGTGTTCATCTGTGACCCCTGCGACCTTGTAGGCGAACTCGCGCATGCGCGGAACATCAGCATCAAGAACGGCGAGCCACAGTTTGGCGTAGTTTCGGCGGAGATCCTTGTCAATCGTTCGGTAGAGACCGTGATCGTATAAAATGATATCGAAGTTGGGATGGCTGCGGTTGGGATTTGGTCGAATGGCGATGTTGCCGCCGTGCGGGTCACAGTGAAGCGGGGCACCGTCGCCGAAGATCATTTCGTTGAAGATATGAGCAAAAGCAGCGGACACTTCGTCCCGATCAATGTTGTTGGCGGCGAGGAAGTCGAGATCATCGGGTCGGCCTCCGGAAATACATTCCATGACAAGGATCCGCTTTTGCGACCACATCACTGATAAAGAAAGTTAGGCACACTATCCCGATAACGACAGTCTTAAGGATCATATCATACCATTAGGAATGACTAAGGGCGCATCAGAGTGTTTCTTGAAGTATTCGCTGGTAGTCATGGCATTTTGAGCCTCCATTCGAAAGTCCAACTCCACAGGCAAAGATTGGTCCATCTCTCGCGATAACCACTCAAGATCATACTCCGGGAAAAAGCGCTTCAGTGTCGAAAATGTAAATCGGGTCAAAGAAAGATCGAGCGGCACCCACTCAGCCAAGGCAGGGTGTTGCACCTTGACGGCAACCTTCTGGCCGGTTTCCTTCAAGGTAGCGAGGTGGACCTGCACAAGCGATGCTGCTCCGATGGGTACGGATCGAACGAGCTGAACAGCTCGTCAATGCGCTGGCCAGTGTCTTTGACGAACATTTCTTCGACTGATTCGATAGACGAGACGGGACATTTGTCTTGCAGGGGGTATAAACGTCGATGTCCACTCGATAGGCAGCAAGTAGCCCATGCTACTCAGATGTTGTCCCCAGTTTGATGAAGATCGAGCCATTTTGTTCCAATACACGAAGTGTTCGATTCGCACAGCGCTGATGGCATGCGCGAATGAGCGCGTCATAATCCTCGGGCGAGGCGAGATCGGCTTGCTTCAACGTGACACGGTAACTGGAAAGACATCGCTCGTTAGCTTATCATTCATCGCTTTACTATCGAGTTCACCTACTCATTGATGCAAACGGCAAGGGTACCAAGCACACGGCCACTTCTCCTCGTGGCGTTATATACATGTTTCACATCGTCCAGTACAAAGTCCACCTGTACCAAGTGAGCCCAGAACAACCAGGTACTTCAAGTACTTTCGTTATGCCGGAGTCTGGCTTGTACGAGGTATCGTCTGTGGTGATCTAGACTCCGCGACGGAAAGGAACGGGGCGCTCGTTGAGAGCGATCGTGCACTAGATTGGTTCAAAGCTGGGCGAGAAGACCATGTGGCTCGACGCAATATTCCAGACTCAACCATGTTCGCGAAACATGTACAGGCAAGATCGAGTGCGTAGAGTACGACGAACTAGCGAAGGCGGCAACCGAGGCTTTGCATGATTGCCCTATAACCGTCGCGGGACTGGCACAAGCCCGCAGCGGTGCGCGAAGGGCAGCCTTCATTCCAACAAGGACGGCACAAGCAACGACAACACAGTGAAAACCAAGCAAAGAAGAGGCGCCAGCTTTTCACTTCATGGTTTGTACAAGAATAAAGCAGCTCGTGTTGATCGGGAGATTTTTCTAAAGCGGCATTGCCACCAATCGGTGGACGCTTAGCCCGGTCTCGGGCCGCAGGGGCACTTCACGTGATGGAATGCTGTAAGTGATCCAATCGACGTCATCGCCACCGATCGATTCCGTTTAGGGTCTTTCGAGCGCTACGGCCGTGTGGCGACAAAGGGCAAAAGATCGACTTCAGGGAGTCTACCAAAAAAATGTGCTACAATTGTTGTACTTTTTGAAGATCAGAGTAGTATGCGAGAAGCCAAGCTTGAACCAAAAAAAATCCCATCGTTGAACACCGTTTATGCAATGATAGTTTGCGTAATACTGAAACATGGATATCGACCACTCCCAACAACTCGACTAGGAATAAAGGAACAGATGCTTAGTAACAACTCGGTTTGGTAACAACTCGGGTCCCTATCTTATACCTTGGCAGATATTGCTCATTCGAAGCAATTGGCCCCAGGTGAACGAGCCTCGAAAAAAGAAATTGATGCACACGCAGAGCATCTTGCATAGGGCAAGTGCAATGAGGCCTGTCATATCCATTCGGAATCCACCGCTGTAGGGGGACGCCGGCGTGGCATGACAGAGCCGCGCCGATTCAAAGAGTTTAGAGCTTTATCATCATCTTGAAGGTATTCGACCTGAGACAGCCGGTTAGACATGCCTCGGGGCATTCGGGACCGGGTGAAGCTGCGTTGCCGTTGAGAGCCGAGCCCAAGGATGAGGTAGTGCCGTCACGGCTTCCTGGTCGAAGCGCAAAAGATGATCCAGTGAGGGCAGGTCGGGAATGACGGGGAGTTTCGCGGCCTTCGAGGAATACTCGAGATTGGCTTGTGCGATTGCTGGACGGGGTGGAGGGGTGTAGAGCTGGAGAATGGGTTCGGACTGGATGTGGAAGTGCTCTTTCGCCGACTCGTAGGTCTGCGCATGAGACCAAGAGTGTTGCTGCTCACGCTCACTGGCTTGAACCAATTTTCCTGCCATGTCTCGGACCAAGATCCTTGGGGTCGTTTTTCAAGTTCTCGAATCGCATCTAGCAGGCCATAGGTTGCAAGCAAGCCACCTTGTTGTTCGGCTGAGTCGCAAATGCTAGAGATAATGCGGAGCAAGTTCAGCCGGACAACCGCTTTGTTGTGATGGAAGCTTCTGTCCAAGGCGTGTGAAAAGATCAGTCCGTGCCAGAGTGGAGGCTACTGGTGGACTGAGACGCAAAGCTTCTGAAGTGGCTCGAGCAGGTTTTCGAGGCATTTGCTTTGGAGAGCGTCAGACATCGAACAATAGCATCTGCGAATGAAATCTTGTCATGGCGATTGTCCAGTAAATGCTCTTCGACTTTTGCTGTTTTCCTCTTGAAGCCTACACAGAATGGTTAAAACCGCGGAAACCCCAAGAATTCGCAGGAGTTCGAGGGAAGACACCACGTGAAAATGGCATCCAACGCCGTGACTTGCCAGTAAGGATCTGCCAGTAGTGAAATGTAGAATGCAAGTCCTTTGTTGCGCCAGCTCTCGGCGACCGACTTTGCCAGACTGAGCCATATCAAAAGGTTGGTAGAGCAAATTCTTTAAGAGGACGCTCCGTCTTGACAATCTTCTGAAGCAGCGGCTGTGTCCTATTCGATGCTGCGTCTTCCTGTCGAGTCTTGTTCAAACGACATGTTGTAGATGGTGTTGAGGATCTGGTTAGACACTTCGCGGAAGTGACTGCGGCCCATGGTAGACTGAAGAAGCTCAGTAAGTACGTCGATGGCGTTGGAATTCTGGAGGGCGTCCAGCGTTGTGGATAGCATTGACAAGTTTTGAATAAACTTCAGCATCGTGACCTGATGCACGGGAGACATCCGCCGCAATTCCTTGAGAACACCTGCAAGAACTGTCAGTGGACCGCTCTTGTTCGAAGTTTGGATCACAGGACGATGGGCTTACGGTGCATACTGTGCGCTCCGCAACCATCTCTTTAACGTGGTTTTCGGCCTGCGAAAAGATGAAAAAAGTGTTTGCAATGCGGCCCTCAATGACCTCGGCCAATTCTCCATCTTCATCTAAGACTCGACTCAGCACAAGAGAGAGCGGATCAAGAACAGAGTTACGGGACAATATTCTTGCAAAAATCGTTTTACGGCGTAGATCCCTGTACACCAGGTAATTAGTAGTAGCGCCACAGAACAAAACTCATCGGAGCAGAGGGGCGAAGTACCTGCAACTCAAACACACTCTACAGATGCCATTCACTCCGATCAGGACTAGATCACGTTCGTCTTCATAGTCATCCTCGAGGAACTCCACCAAGACGTTGAGACCGCCTGCGCTGATGAACATCTGGAGTGTGAGAGTGGACGTCTGGAACATTTGCTGCACAAATGCAGCGGCTTCAAGGACGGATCTCCCGTGGATATTTCTTCGATGCAAACTCGTTCACGATGGGAATACCACCGACGAAGCAGGGATTTTCTTGAATCTCGTAGTCATTGTAGATGATAGCATTCACCACTCTGAGAAGGTAGTACACAGTGTCACGTCGACGTGATGTATCGAGAAATTCAAGAATGGGTAGCATGCCGTGTGCCTGATAATGATATTCTTCGTTTCCGGAAGATCGCAGAACACGGTGAGAAGCTGTTCGGAGATCTCCGCGAGAACATCCTCATCTTGAGACGTTTTCAGAGAGCCGACCAGATCTTCGACCTGATTGCGTAGACGGGCATACTTGTCACGGGCGATATTGGCTTCAGATCCATCTCATCAAGCCTTCTTCTAGCTGTGCGAAGGGGTCATCGTCGTCATCCTGATCGCCCGGCCAAGAATTGTTCGACAGTTTGGAGTTCGGCATGAGAGTACTCTGATCGGAACCGTCGTCACTCTCTGGCTTGTCGAGAACCTCTTGATCAGCTCCAAGGATGTCGGAGAGTCTTTATCGCTCTCGTTCTCTGCAAATCTCTGGATCTCGATAGCTGATCGGTCACGTTTCACTGACAACTGTTTTCGTAGTTGCGGATGATGGCCAGCCAGTTCATCCTCGAAATGCCAGTCTTTGTCGTGTGTCGGAGAGTCAGGGTCATCGTCCAATTCCTACATACAGATGTTAGCGAACGGAAGACTAGCTTTATGTGTGTCTAAGACGAACGTGAAATACTCCGAGCTGCGGTCGAGGACATCCTCGTTAGCCATGATCAAATCTGAGTAATCCTCAACAGAGTTCTCTTTGTATAAGACGGCTGGGCGAGGCCGTCTCATTGGAGGCGTGGGGAGTCTGTGACAGGATCGGAACATTTTGAAGAGTCGAAGTCGACTGGATCTTGGACTGGCGACGCTTTGATGGGCTGGCACTCTTGGATGGCTCGGCTAATGGGACTTTGGCAGAGTATGGGCGGATGGTTTGCAAAGGATCATTGTCACCTGGAAATGAACCACGCCCACTGTCTTCGAAGCCGTCGAAACTGTCATCACCCTTAATGACAGTTCCATCGAGGATGCGAACGCTTTCAACTTCTCGGGTGAGAGCTTGCCTCCGAGGTCGTCCTGCGGTCTCAAATGGGGCAGCTGCAACGCGCTTGGAGAGATAGCGGTCACGAAATCGTTGTCCCAATTGTCATCTTCATTAGACGACGGTGACCGAAAGCGATCAGCGATTTTGATAGATGTTGGCGATGGGAGGGTATCTACTAAGGAACCGCCGCGTGCAGCAGGCAACGACCCAGCGTTCGGATCAAATTTGGTTGATTTCCTCGTAGTGCCAGCCCCAGGAGAGCGTAATGCTTCATTCCACTCTGCACACTCTTGACAGCCTCCTCATATTCCGTCGATTTTTGGGAATGATGGAGTCACTTCGGCGTGCGTTGACAATCCATGGATGCTTGAGTAACTTTCGAGCACATGCTCGAAGATTGGGATCTTTCTGGAAACATTGCATCAAGAAATCTTTGACGGCCTGGGGGGTTCAGTCAGTATCACAAAAGACGAACGGTCATCTAATTATTCACTTACTGGGGAAGCACCCTGCGGAAGTGGCGGATGATCATCATTCACGATCCGGAATAGAGCGGGCATCGGCTGAAGGTTATGATATGGAGGTTTCCCTCTAGCAGCTCAATGACCGTACAACCCAAGCTCCAGATATCTGACGCCGTCGTGGCTCCTGATAGCTCGATGACCTCCGGGGCCATCCCAACGGGAGTACCAACTACACTCGACTCGCTCAATCCTGTGGTTCGACTGGCCACCCCGAAATCGGCCAATTTTACCAAGCCTTCTTTGGTGGTCAGAATGTTCGCGCCCTTGATGTCCCATGGATGACACCTTGTTCGTGGAGATACAATAGTCCATGCAGCACTGCGACATGTACAGCCCGACTAGATTCTCCGGAAAGCGACCGAAGTTCTTAGCGATGGAATGCAACGATCCATTCTCACAGTATCTGGTTGTGGCAGAGTTAGCGGTCGTTCCTCGTTAGCACAGGCTTGGTAGGGAATCCAACTCTAAGATGATGTTTAAAGTTTCCACGGATTTCACAAACCCATGGTATTTGACGATGTTCGGATGCTAATCTTTGAGTCAGCGGAGCCATTCATACTCCCCGCGGGTCGAATGAGGTCTTACATCGAGATTTTTGAGCAAATCAATTTCAAGCTAAGACAGTCCGTCGTTGTCAGCGTCAGCCCTTGTAAGTGACGGTCAGGCTGTGTATATACCATAATCACACGCAACTCCGTCGTCGGGAGATCAGTAAGCTTGATCTGTTTCACCGCAACCGTCTCCCCTGTGTTCCAGTTCAAGGCCCGATAAACGGATCCAAACGCGCCCTTTCCCAGACAGTCACCCAATTGCTACGAGCCGACGAACATCTCGTTGGCCTGACGTCTGTTGCCCTCGGTTCAGCGAGCGCATGCTCCCTCTGGTCTCCCACTCACATAATCTTTGAGCTCTGCTACATCTTTGGCTGAGGTCTTCGGTCCCTTTTCTTCTTTAAGTTTATCATCGCTCTGCACGGGGCTGGTGCCAGCTCCAGGTCAAACGAGGTTTCATGGGCGTGCCCGGCTCATTGAGGGGGTGAGGGGCCGTTGACCCTCACTGGTTTCGCCGGAGCGAGAGACCATGGCAGCTGTAGCGCAGAGCTTGGTTGAGCAGTCTTGTTGTGTTTGTTTGGAGCGCGCCGGTCTCAGAAGGTGGTCTCGGATGGGTGCCGAGTGGGGGTTGGGAAAGGTCGAAGTGAGAGTGGAAACGAGGCGGTGCCGAGGTGATGGTCTGCAAGGAATGCATGACCGCCGCATGAATATCTGTGGTCACTTGTCATGTCAGTCGTGGAATCATCAGATTGCAAACCGCTCAGGCGTGATTACTCTAAGTAGCGGACCTTGTCGCATGCGCGATCGATTGTCCGGCGGTGGGATTGGGTCTCACCAGACCTGCATAATACAAGGGCGTCTGCTACCACACCCTTCACCGTAGTTAGTTCGTAGCAGAGAGACACTCGTCTGTCGTATGAGACCATGCAGTACGCAGAGAGTTTCCTAAAATTCCAAGCCAGGTCCAGAGCAGAGAAAAGACACGGGACGGGCGGAGATTGGATGGGACTCGAGCATGAGTTGTTTTGAACTTTCCTTCTCCACAGGCGGCATCATATTGCGGCTGTACGGACGCCCACCGATCAGCCCTACAAAGCTTCCGCTGCTGAAGTCACTGCGACCGTCCTCGCCGGACCTATCAGTGACTTTGTTTGTGCCCAGCGAACGGGAGCATGCAAAGAAAAATTCGGTCGAGGAAGGTATCAAGAGTGCCATGGTGTGCAATTACATTCACAATAAACCGGAGGGTAAACAAAACCCCCCGCATAGCTTACCATCCGACGAGGCCCCACTTTTCGAAGGAAATCGAAGCTACAGCACCTGGAGCACATGTTATCAGGACTGAAACCGATGATCCTCTCTATGGGCAATATGTGATATCTGAACCCTCAAAGCAGATCTACAAGGTAGAAGTATTCCTTCTCGTGGTATATGTAACCCCGATTTGAAGACCCTTAGAACTTCGGTAGAAGTAATAAAAGTCATTGATTATATGAAAACAATGCTGATGAAGATGTTTATCGATCGAACAGGCCCAGGCCCGCGCCGTGGCTAACATCAATTGCCAGGTTCAGTGTGTCTGTTGTTACACTGTTGGAAGGTCGAGAAGATAGTATAGACTCATAGAATATAGACCGTTTAAACCCGGAGCTTAAGACGGTATGCGCGGGTGATACTTTTGACTTATTACCATCAAAGAACCATAGTAAAGACACGTTAGCCGACTACGTCCATATACAGTAGCTAGTGGCGTACTGGATCACTGACTGGTACCTGACATTGACAGTAGAAGCAAAAAAACTAAGGGACCTATATAACTTCTTGTCATGTATAGATAATTATCCATATGACTGCGCCTGGGCGCCATAAACATTGATGGTATACATAGTTTTTGGATGTAAGTTATCCCGAACGCTACAAAATGTGTACGTTTGTTGTTAACTTGTTCTTCCGCGCCTAGGTATGAGGTAGTTACACCAAGGCATTACCTTCTGTCCTAAATGGATATTTACCATCATGGGGAGCTTTCTGGCACAATCCAGAAAGGTCGGATTGAAGCCAAGACAACTTCTTGTATGTCGTAATTGGACAATTAGTTACTTGTAGACTAGGTACTAGAGTAGCAGTAGACCCGTAGAGTTTGAAAGACACCAGTGCACGATCTAATATCGAGCCATCGTCGTGACCCATTATATATCGAAAGCACTCAACTGAGATGCGTAGATTGTTGAAAGGTCCCAAGTTATGAACATCAGGTAGATACCTGCCACTTTAGAAGTAATCAGTGTGATGACGCATCATCATATCGATACTCGTCAAGCCTGCGATTCGGAACCCGATTCTGGAATTTACTGTATGTCCTGACAGTCTAGCCACTCAATTGCCGCCTGCGCATCGTCTGGTCTCGTCACTGATCACAACTTCCGGACTCATCTGGTGGTTCCGTCAGGCCGCTCAGGTATCGTTCGGGAAATACCCGTTTCCTTTGAATGCCCCAAAAACAAAATTCCCCGCTCCTCTAATCTTTTCCTTCCGATCAGTATCCATCTCTCTCCCGTGTCCCACTACATCACCCCCAAGACTCCGGGGGCGCGTTCGAAAGCCTTTATCCTTATCGCTTACCCGACCGTCTTGTTGTTGTGCCCGTCGATTATTCACTTGCGCAATTCGGTCGCAACATGGGTATTCCGTACGTCTACTCTCTCTGCGATATTGGAAATCCATCCAGTAGCCATTGGCCGCTGGATCACTACCTGGAGTTGCACTGACATCTGCTTAAAGAATGTGGCGTGAGCCTTGCAGGAGCGGACGCGCTCAAGACAGCAGTGGAAAAAGATGTGACGGCTGCCGGAAGATCATCGATTCGACGCTCGAATACAAATCGTCCATGGGCCGCGCCCTCCGGTTGGCGTCCAGCTTCCGTACGCAGATAATGGAAGGAATCAGCGCGGCGATCAGGCCCCAAGCCGCCGTCCGCTCGCCAGTGTTGAACTTGGGGGTCAGCGAAGATGGTATGTGCGGAAACCAGTCGTCGTGATGCCCTGGCCTCTCCTACCTCCTTCTGAATCGCAGATTCTCGAAAAGCGAGCCAGCCGACGCTCTCGAGATGCTCGTGAAGTAACCGACTTTCTGGCTTTGCCCGAGCCGAGGCTTGCTCGCGCGGCACCCATCGCGAGTCCAGCTAACCAGGTTTGCGCCTGCAATGTCGCATCGCGTGTCGTCCTCGCCCCCATTCCTCATCGTCCCGCCTTCCGCCACAGGCACCGCCGTCCCCTCCGTGCGCCCCAGTGGTCATCGCAGCCGTCTTGAGGACTCAACCACACCCATTGCTCCTCGCCGAGGAACCATCGCCCTCATGTTCGAGGCTTGTCGTCAGGCATTGGTCCTCACTGATCCCCCGGTCGATGGTCTCGGAGACCGGCAGCGGGGAACATCAAGCGCCGACGGCGCCAGCGAAACCGACCCCTGGGATGATTTTCTGACCACGGTCGCGCCAGGTGCTGTTGATGGTCCCC